GATGAGGCGCATTGTGGGAAGTAGGTCGGAACATTTGAATGCTATTGCTCAGGTAATAGCTGAAAGCGATGGTAAGTCTCATCATTTCAGGGTTACACTTCCTGCTCTGACCTGCTGGATGTATAGCGTGTGATTTCATCAACAGAGAGGCAGGTTTGTTGGTACCTATCCATTGCATTCTCTTCGATGGCTGGTCCTTCGAATTTTTCAAGTTTGAAAGGATGCCAGATCCAACATTTCTATGTGGTCGCTTTCAAGGAGATCCACCAGACTTCCGGCATGGCATGCAGCTACCCATTTCAGAAACTTATCTTCCTTTTATTCTCCGGCTTCGCTGTGTGTGTGAGACAATCTTTGACATCATGCTGAGTGCATATATTGCAGGCATGAAAGCATATTATAATCGAGAGGAAGACAAGGGGAGGAAGGAGGGTGGGAAGAGACTGAGTGATGAATGGGATCAGGCCCTTTGTTTGGCTGAACATGCTCAGGAAACATTTAGGGAAGCTGAGGTCCAACGCAAGGAGGGTAATATTGTGTCTGCAAATGCAATTGTTGATGCAGCTCTTCTTGCACTACATGAGAGGTATGCATTCACTTATCTGCATGTCAGATCTGTCATTCCCTACCCTGTCTCAGTACAGGAGCATTGCCAACTAGATACAAGTCCAAACCCATCATGATGGGCTGGGATGATGCTGGGGTTGACAGGGCATGATGTTTTCACAGATGGACACTGGCAGTTGAGTGGGTGTAAGGCTGTTACTGGTAACAGCCTGGGTTGACTCAGTTCTCAATCTGCTGAAACTAAGGCTGTATTGCTGACTCATACCCTGTCTCTGCTCTTGGATGCATGCTGCAAAATGTTAGAAAACAACCAAGTACCCTTTGTATTACAATTCAGAAGTCACATTCTCCATATGAATCTGCAATCAATGAGCTTAATACAGTTTTGAAGCATTCAATACACTTTTCAATACAAATAAACAGTCACATGTAATGGGGTTAAGAGGCTCATATCCATATCCAATCAACTACTCCAAAAACCAGCACACAACACTTTGCTCCAATGACTGGCACAAGATGGCAGTGGCAGTGTCCCTAGCAACATCTGGAAATTCCACCACCATCCCAGAAAGGCATCTGTCAGGGCATGCTGTGCTGCTCCCCTCTCTCTCTTCTTTCTTTCTCTCTCTCCCTCCTTTGCTTCCCCTCTATCTTTATATGGATGACTCCTTTTTCTTATATCTGTAGCACAGACACGTCCAATGCCAGGCACCCCATGCAGGTACCATGCTGCTGGACATGCCACGCATTTCTACTTGTATCTTTCCTTTCTAATAACGCGGACTAGAATGAAATAATACTCAGTCTCGTGGTTGTGAATGCAATGAGAATTATAATTGGATATATCTACCTAGAATGAAATAATACTAAGTGAAGATTTAGAATAAGTAAATGAGTGAACATAATAAAAGGTATGTATACCGACCTCAGTCTTGCGGTTGTGAACACAATGAGAACTGAGGGCATCAGCGAAGTAAACATTGAGCTTTTAAGCGTTGATTACTCAAATGTAATGGGAGTGAGAGTTATTACAAATAAAGGAAAGTGAAGCCAACAGGTCAGAAAAAGGAAGATAAATGCTAAATAAACATGGAATGATAAGACAGTAGAGACTGACTAGAAATAAACCTAACATCAATCATCGGGCATCTCACTGAGATAATGTAGGTTGGGTATCCTTGCGCTAAAGTGTTGAACCAACTGTTGCTGTCTTACAACACACCCACTCAGCGATGGGTGACTCGACACAAACCCAGCTTGTTAGAGATGGGCAGATTCAGACAACTCTGGAGTGGAATCGGAGACTTAGCGTGGAGGGACCTTGGCCTCAGCGACTCAAGCGGAGCGCTGTGCCATTGCTGTTTGTCCATTTGGTCCTGTCATATCCATCCCTGGCCATCGACTTCCGACCCCTCTGATCCCTCCAGTCTACTTCCGCTCCTTCTTCACTAACCTCGGAGCTCCCATATTCCGCAATCCCCTCGGTACCCCTCGATGGTCACCACCCCCTCCTTTCAATTTATTACCTACACCTCCCTAAGTACAGAGCCCTGAAGGCTTCCAGACAGCTCTGACGTCCGCTAGCGCACTCCCACCTCCGCTGGACAATACACTTGCTTGCCCTGCAAAGCCCACCTTCGGGCCTATCCCTCCTTTCCATTTCTGGGTTATCACCTGCCTTTCCGTTAACCCCGTAACCTGACTCGTCGGTAATATTCAATCGGCTAAGGTCTAACCCCGTTAGCTCCGCTCCGCCATTTGCGGACCTGCCCTCGCTGTAACTATATATACTTAACTTGTACATAGGTTACACTCCAGTAATAAAATCGACTAGAGTTTACCCTCTTCAGTTCTGGTTGCCAGTTTAGTAAGTTAGGGCACAGACATGTTACTTGGCACAGCGCTCCTGGCACAAGTCGCTGAGGCCGAAGCCCTCTGCCATGGAGACACTCCTTCGTCTCGACCTGGTCTCTGACAGGTCCTTAATTTCACAGTAGGCGAGCAGGAAGTCTCTAGGGGGCATTTCAGGTTGATTTCGGACTGAGCCTCCTACGAGTATGTACAAGCACGGATATATATAATGGAGGGGCAAAAGCACAAGGAAACGAAGGGGAACCGAATTGGAATGAAGGCGTCCGAACAGGAACAAAGGGATGACAGAGGTGGAGTGGTACCAAAGGTCATAAGGCAGAACCTGTGATAGGTCCGAAAGGAGGTAAGGAGGGCGAGGCCCAGAGGGGCAGGAGGATGAGGGGAAGTGGGGATGATGACTAACTGGCTAGAATGGGAAGAAGCAGCAGTCCAAATAGGGATGAGGGGAAGATGTGAGAAATACATTACAAGCGGCAAAAGTGCTGAAGATGATCTGCGAAGCTCGGAGGTTGCTGAGCTTACGGAGGCGGGGTTGAAAGTCCGAGGAATATTGGCAATGGTGTTTACGTAGTATGAGGTCACCAATGCAATGGACTAAGACTGTTACAAAAATGGGGCCGGAGGCGCCCATTTTCGTCCATTCAAGGCGCAGGGAAAGGGAAAGGGGAAGGGAGGTGGTTCATTAGGGTTTACAGATGTTATCACAGGCAGTTTAACATTAGTTGTAACAGATGTTAGCACAGCGGGTTTTTGGTTGTTTATTGATTGGTTAAAATACAAATCATGTGATACAGAACCCATAAGAGTCTAGAATGGGAAATTCCCATTTCCATAACAAAGACCGAGGTGGAGTCAAAGTCCGAGGTAGGAACTATGACGGAGGCTTGGAGCAAAGGTACGAGCGGTGCCTGAGTACAAAGTACGGGTCAGCAGCGGGAGGTCGTAACTTGGCGGGAGGTCGGTGGAAGAGGACTAGAGGGAAGAGGACCAGAGGGAAGAGAGGGGAAGGAAGAGAGGGGAAGGAAGAGAGGGGAAGGAAGAGAGGGGAAGGAAGAGGGGAAGGAAGAGAGGGGAAGGAAGAGAGGAGAGGTGTCAGGTCCGAAGGTGGGTATCGGAGCGGACGGGAGAAGAGTAGGAGGATGACGGAAGGGTGGAGGTGTTGTGAGGAGGAAGTGGAGGAGTATGAGGAGGAGTAGGAGGAGGGTGGCGAGAGGGGTGGTGTTCGGTCCGAGGTGGTTATTGGAATGGACGGAGATAGGACAGGAGAGTGACGGAGGAGTGGAGGTGGCATGGGAGGTGAAGGGTGGTGTGGTGCCAGGACCGGAGGTGAATATCGGAATGGACAGCGGTAGGGTAGGATTCCGGAGGTGGGGAAGGAGGAGGTCTGGAAGTTGGGGCGGGATCGGGTATGCACGGATATGACACAGCTCTCCTTGGAACTTCTCGAACTTGACGATGGGGAGAGCTTTCGTGAAAATGTCAGACACTTGATCAGCAGTTGGGACATATTGGAGTTCCAAAGTTCCGCTTTCGATCTTCTCTCGAATCCAGTGGTGGCGAACGTCGATGTGCTTCATTTGGGCATGGAATATGGGATTCTCGGCGAGGGCAATGGTGGATTGGTTGTCGACAGAAATGATAATGGGTGAATCAATGGGAATTCCAGAGGAGTCGTAAAGATGATCCAAGTGGACTGCCTCCTTACCGGCATGGGTTGTTGCTGTATACTCCACCTCAGTACTTGACAATGCAATCGTGGGTTGCTTCTTGGATGACCAGGCAACCACAGCCCCACCATAGATGAAACAATACTGGACATGGAGTGTTGGGTGCTTGAGTTGCCAGCCCGGTCAGTGTCAGAGAAGCCAGTTAGTCCTTCCTTTACCTTCTTCCCATCAAAGACCAGAGCAAAGTCATGAGTTCCATTGAGATAACAAAAAACTCATTTGATTGCCATGAGGTGTTCTTTTCCAGGAGCAATCACATGCTGAGCGAGTAGACCCACAGCGAAGGACAGGACAAGTGCTGATGGAGGCATACATGAGTGAGCCGAGCATAGATTGGTAGAGGTGAGTGTCAACTTCAGTTCAAGTTAGCAGACATTGGAGTGCTCATCAATCAAGCCGTCTTGTCATGAACCCACCTGGGGAAGATCCGAAATGCTACCCAGGTGGGTGTGTCTGATGGAGCTTGATGTTCTGGGTCATTCTGACAGTGGGTCAGAGACAGACTGGAGGTGGGGTGGAGCTCCAAGGGTGACGGGGTGTTGAAGGGACTCGGCTTCAGTGACTCGGAATGGAGCGCTGTGCCGTTACGTCCTCGTTGTCCCAATTTGTCAGGGGGACTGGCAATGGAGGAACAGAGGCCGCCAGCAGAAGGGGGCCAGAAGCCCCTCTCACTACTTAACGATGGAGGTGTTAGTGAGGGTCAATCATTTGTCATGCGATTCATTGGGTTTTTATACCAAGGCACCTTTAGGTGCATCTGTCACTCAGCTCTTGGTTCAAGATGGAGCAGCAGGCGAGTAGAGCACAATAGACATCGTGGAAGCGGGTTTGGATTCAAGGACTTAGGACTTAATATTATAACTGGGGGAACTATTACTAGAGTGGTACATGCATACATATAGCAGAGATAATTGGATCCAAAGGTAAACAAAGGTTGCCAAGGGGAAGAGAGAGTAAATAGAAAGACTCCACAGGACAAATATAGAATAGGTGAAAAGCCCGAATTATGTCTGAAGCTTTGTGGAGTGGGAGGATTAGAACCAACTGAATGGTAAGGCCTGGGCCCATCTATGAATGAGCAGGGGACTACAGGGGAAGATGTCCAGAAAGGTCCGGAGCCCAGAAGTTGTAGTCCAGAAGATTGGGGTTGTAGAAATGTCAATGATAAAACAATAAAGAATAACATGACTGGAGGTAGGGTAGGAGTGGGGAGGTACCAGAAGATACACAACCAGAGGTGCAGAGACAGGAGTAAGAAGGAGGGTGGATAGGCAAGTTGAGGGTTACCAACAACAAGTAGATCCATATCCTTTGAACAGGAGATCCAAGGAGGTGGAGTGTGGTAGGGGAGGTCCGGAGGTGATGTGGACGTAGATAGGAGGAAGAGTGGGAGAGAGTCAAATGAGGAGGTAGTCCTAGGATTGTTGGCATCGACCGGAGGCAGCAGAGAGAGATTGGGAGGCTGGTGGAGGTCATAGGAGTCCTCTAGGACTAGGGCGGAGGGAGGTGGAAGATCTGGGATATGACATGTCTCTAGTCTGAATCATGTGAG